GACAAATATAGAAACAATTGTTTAACATTCCAGTCAAATATACTCTGCAAATGTATGCACATTAAGGAAAAGGTTATCATATTGTAAACTTTATATTTTCACTAGATCTGTCCAGATCATGATGATTACAGCAAGTTCTTACATTTCAATACACCTTATATTTATAAATCAGAGCTTTTCCAAGACCTCCAGCACATTCTTCAATCACTTTCAAGCCACAGGTTTCATAAATCAGATTTAAAAAATGAATAGCTATTTCATGTAATGATTTAGGATTTCTATATTTGACATTACAAGCCAGTAACTTTGATCCACTGCTAGTCAATCTATTAGAAAATCTTCAATGTAAAGCAAGACAGAGTTTTTCAGCAACTCTTTAAAGCTATCATCATTTATACTATCAAGGAACACTAGCATCCAAATGAGGATGAAGATATAATAGCAATAATCAATATATAATACAAAACTTACAGAATGCAGAGAACTCAAAGAGCCTGTAATATCTGCATTAGAAAAGTTAGTAGACTAGAAACCTATCACACTGGAAGGGACACCTGAAATTATCACATATAATAATCTACTTTCTACAAAGAACTTTAGCTTATTTAACTGATGGACCTCTGCCTAAAATTTCTGATCAATGGTAAAATACTGATAACTGCCATTTGAGACAATCAGTGTAATAAAGGTGATATTTTAAATGTCTGTTGTTCATTTAGCAATGAAATGCAGTGTGATCGCTAAGGAAAATATCTCTTTAATAATAATAAAGATTAAAGATGATGTTCTACTCCTCCAGCCCACAAGAATGTCATCCTCTTTATTCTATTCTTCTCTATCTTGGAACAAAAATGAAATAGAACAGATTTTGATGCTGGTTGGAGAATCTATCTTGTCCCACTCATCCCAAGTCTGAATCAGATTTTGAAGACCCGAGTTCAAAAGCAAAGGAAGGAAAGAATTAAATAATCATAGCAGCTATTACAAGAATAGGTGACTAAAATATTCAGGTAAAGCAGCTCCAGCTAACTCAAAACAACAAAGTTAAGAAATCCCACAAAAACACACTTCCAAAATGATTTCTAAAGGCAGTCATTAAGTGCAGACAAGAGAGCTTCTGAATCTAAAGGAAGGAGAGGGGAGTTATCTTCTAACAGTCTATGTATTTAATTCTCATTGGGACTAACAAATCACATCCATTAGTTGAGAGCCATATCTTTTTACAGATTTTATAAAAAAAAAAAAACTATTAGAAAGTTATATATTACAACCCTACATACTGCAAGATTTGTTTAAGCCAAGCATCAAAGATTAAGCCAAAATTTTCTTAAGCAAATTTACAACTACTGCTAGTATAAAAAGCCTCAATAGAACATGGAGTCTTTTACACCCACACGCTGCAGATATTGTATGAGAACATCTACAGGGGTCCTGTCCTGCCCCCTCCCCATATGCAATTCAATTAATCAACTTCAGAAGCATTTTAGTTTCTGGTTTGAATAAATACCAGCATTTCAGAGATACAAAATAGTCTCAGGAGCTTACTTCTTCTGCTTTCAGCTGATTGACAAAACAAAACCTTCTCACTACCATGCAAGAAACACAAGCAAAAATTCAGTTCAAGGGTTCATCCAGCTTTTTCATCCACTCAAGAACCATATTTGATTTGCTCACTCCATGCATCAATCTCCTCTGAAGCAAAGAGGAAATCTGTGCCTTGTCTAACACAGTGACAAAAAACAGCTAACAGGGAAAAATTACAGGAATTTGAACCCAGCTGCAAAGCAAAGCTTTGTGTAGTCACTTCAGCTAAAACATGCTACCTTACATTTGGTACTGATTTCTTCTGAAAAATAGGATTTTTGCATCTTAATCCCAAGAATGATTTCCTTTCATCAACAAAACTAACAATACCCACAACCCACCCCCTTTCTCAAAAAAAAAACCCCAAAAAACAAAAAACCAAAAACCAGACTAACAAGAATGACACACAAAAAGAGAAACACACAAAGAAAGCTGAATGAAGTTATTAGCAGGGCAAAAATAAATACAGTAGATTTTGCAGTACCATGTATGCTTACGAATGAACTGAATGGTACTAAGTCTTAGAGATTTGATAGTTCAGCATCTAAGAAAGTAAACAAACACCATTTCTTTTTCAAAGAGGACAGATACCTGTATACAACTATTCTACAGCTGGAATTTTAAAAACCTCATCGCAGAAAAGCTTCAAAGTTACATCAGAGTTCCCAGATTCATTACGACAGTCTGAACACTGGTTATATAAACACTGCAACTAGTTCATACTTCAAAACACAAATACCATCTTCACTTAACACTCACACTGCCCTGGCAGTGTTAAAATGCACTTCTCTACAGAGTTTTATTTTAAGAGCACGCATAAAAAAAAGCAAAGGAAACAGCTCACCCAGTGCCATTTACAGAACAAATGCTCCAGGTTCTATTTTCATGCCCTAGATATGCAAAATACCATTTTTGTCACTGCTTTAAACTTAGATTTTAAGACAAATTTCTGCCTTTTTTTTCAATTCCCAAGTATCAGGATTGTAAGTTAACAAAAATAAAAGTCAAGATCTTATTCCAAAGTGTTTTCAAACCATTTTTTTTCCATTAAGGATATCTGCAGTAATGTCAAACGTGACGAACGCCAGATCACTTCTTTCTCTAGGTCCAGTGAAATCTTCTACATTTCTTCTAAGATAAAACAAAACACAAGATTATCTTCTCCTTATTTCTCTCTCACACTTTAAGCAAATTATTATTCTTACTGCATACTTTCCCCATGCTTCCCTGTACTTCCTTGCAAAAGCATTTGGCTAAAATATTACCGCTTTATACAATGAAGCCTGCCTTCTAGAAGGCTTAGAGCCCCAGTTTTAAATGATGGGTTTTACCCCCACAGAAGTCTATGTAAATTATACAGAAACCCTGAAATTATTTTCCAGTTAACAAACATTTGCTGCTTTTTTGTACCTAAACCACATTCCATTTCACCTTTAGCAAAGTGTGCGTTACCTATCCCCATCTTCAAATTTGTAAGCTGATTGGAAGGCTGGCTCAACAGCTGGCAATCATTTTAAATAATATTTATTTAGAAAACCTTCAGTGCTTAGTCTCATACAAGACACTCCAACCATTCTGATTAACTGAATTTCATTTTGCAGTTTAAACAACTTAGAGAATTTCTCCTTGGCATGTTCAGTCATTAAGGAGAAGAAAACACTTAAATCCTTCTACACAGTAGAAATCATAGACAAGTTTTGGAAGACTGCTACAAATCCACTTTTTGATAAATTATCTGACATCACCATAAAACACTGTTAAAAAAATAGAAAGTGGAAAATAACACAGGTATTTACATACATATGTTATTAAAATTTAGCCTACCAAACTTACTGCTACAAGCTTACGCTGCAACAGAAAGCAAACTGGCAATGAACCATGAGCCCTAACTCCTCATGTAACAAAGACCTTGGGAATTATGAACTTACCAGTTACATTTATTCTGCTGTTAAAATTAGTCTGTGAAAATGTAATTTCATATAAACTAAATTCAGTAATCTCAGAGGAAAAAAGTATTAACCAGTGAAAAACACACTCTTGGATACAGTAATCAAGAAAAACACCAACCAAACTCACCAATGTAAGACTCGTTAAGAACTTCCATTCCTACGCAAACACCTTTTTAAGTAATAATTCTTGTCAAGCACTTGACATAATTTCCAAATAACTGCCTGTCAACCTACTGGGGTAAAGGGCCTGAAGCTGGGGGCCTGTGGAACTTATTAGAAGTTCAACAGAAATACTCAAGTATAATGCCTCTTCTTTCATTACTAGCAGATCCATGCATCACTGAAGGGACAGGTTGCATACATTTCATCTAGGTCAGGCATTAGCATGAAATTAATGCTGTGAAGTTCAGCAGAACACTCTATATTTCTCCTTGTGCCAGTTTTAAGCTTTTTTTTTTTTTTTTTCTTTTGCAATCCTCCACACAGTATACATACAGGGCTAACGAAGGTGTTAAAGCAATCAAAAGGGTGACTGCAGATCCCACTCTATTTGGGGCCATTTCACCTTCCAAAGGCTGCTGCCAGCCACCCACATGCCTTGGGGTAGCTGAGCAGCTCCAAGAGCTGCTTTAACTCACTGACCAGGCCCAAAACAAGCCCAGCAAGAAGAATAAATAAATAAAGATAAAAGACACATTTCAGGTAAGCTAAAGCAGATCAGAACTGTCCCATTCTCAGATGTAACTCTGGTAAAGAGCCACGCCACCAGAAGCAGGAGTCAGGGCCTCGGGCCCTTTGTGGCAGGAACCTGGCTGCTGGCAGAACCGCAGCCATCCGCGTTGGCCACCGTGAACTTGATGCAAGCTTCCTGTGACAAACTCTCGAGAAAAAAAAAAAAAAAGCCAAAATTCTGAAAAAAAGAGGTTACATCAGCCCGCTGTGTCCTGTGGGCATGGGGCTTTCCGCAGGTCCAATGGAAAACAAAACCTCCAAGCTGGTCTAAGGAGAACGCATTACCAGCTCGCTCGGATCTAGTTCGCTCACAGCACGGCTCGAGTCGGAAAAGGCCCGTGATGCCCATCCAGCCGCAGCCCCCGGCGGCGGGCCGGCCACCACCCACCCGACCACGCCGCCGGGGTCCCATCCCACTTGCCCTCGGACAGCCCCAAAGCACGGACCCTCCGAGCTCGCACCGACCGCCCGGCACAAGCCGCCCCTGCGCGGCACAGCCGCCCGCCCCTGCGGGGCACAGCCCGGCCCCCGGCCCTCCCGGAACCCCGCCCGGCGGGGCGGGAGGCAGCGAAGCGCCGTCGTGGGGCTCCCTCATTGGCCCCGCCGGGGGAAGCGAAGCGCCCCGTGGCCGCGGCTGCTTCAGCCGCCGGGCGGAAAAAGGGGATTAACGGGGAGGAGCGGAGCGGAAGGGCCCGCCCGCGGGGGTCCCGGTGCCGGACGTTACCCGGCCCGCCCCGCCGCCCGACCCCCACTCACAGCGTGACCCGGGACACGGCGATGCTGACGGGCACGCTGCGCTCCTTGAAGGCGGTGGTGATGAAGCAGCCGAAGGTGAGCGCCGCCATCACGCTCAGCGAGAAGGCGAAGAGCGAGTTGGCCCGGGACAGAACCGTGTTCATCTCCCCCCCCGCTCTGCCCGCCGTGCGGGCTCCCGGGCTGCAGCCGCTGCTCGGGGCGGGGTCGGGGAGCCGCTCCGCCGGTCCTGAGCCCCGGCAGACACGAGCGGCGGTGGGGCCGTCGCTTGGGCCGCGGAAGAAGGGGCGCGCGGCCGGCAGGGAGAGGCGCGGCCCCGCCGAGAGCACGCCCTGCGCCTGCACTGCGCCTGCGCGCGAGGTCGCCGCGCTTCCCTCGGGCGCCGGCAGCGAGTTGGCGTAGCGCCTGCCTCCGCCTTTCGGTCAGCGCCGTGTGTCGGAGGGAAGGATGCCGAAAGAAAAGCCCCGCCCGCTCGGTGTGACTGTGGGTGAGGCTTTTTGTGTGTGTTTGCTTTCTGTGTCGAGCAGACATCCTGACAGCTTGTCTGCCTGGCTCGAGAGGGCCGGCAAAGCTCAGGCACGTCGCCCGCGTCTTGAGCTGCGTGTGATGGAGGCGTTCCCCCAGGAGGGCTTCGTTGGCATTCCCGTTTTGTTGTGTGTACGCTTAGCGTGTACATCATCTTGTCATTACAATGCTTTTCTTTACCAAAGGACTCTGTGATCCCACGCCATTTGCAGCACAAGGCAGTCCTTCGCCCCAGTGAGTAGGTCGGAATTTCACTGCGGGTGGCTGCCAGCACGATGCGGTTTATGCAGTGCGATGGTTCATTCGCCATCATTGCAGACCCCTCCTCAGGGATTGTTCCTGCGCCACGGAGCTGAAGCGTTATGAGTTACAGGAGAGGGGCAGTTTATATTGTTTTCTTTCCATTTCCTTCTAAATCACTAAGCCTGAGTGATAAGTGCTTTTGTTTTTATAGAGTCTGTACAATGGTATTTGCATGTTTAACTGTATTTTTTTATGCTAGGCCTGATTAATACCAATTCCTCAGGGTGGACAACAGGTGTCAGCAGTGGTTCACTTATATTTAACTTCCCAACACTACTATTCCAGCGTAATGAATGCTAGGAGTTGGCACAGGAGTTAACACACAGGGGTCTGAAAAGATAGAAGGCCTTATAGAATCATAGAATCTCTCAGGTTGGAAAAGACCTTAAAGATCACCGAGTCCAACCACAACCTAACCATACTACCCTAACAACCCTCCGCTAAGTCACGTCCCTGTGCAGCACGTCCAAATGGTTTTTAAACACATCCAGGAATGGTGACTCAGCCACCTCCCTGAGGAGCCTATTCCAGTGCTTCACAACCCTTTCTATAAAGATTTTCCTGATATCCAACCTAAACTTACCTCGGCACAACTTAGGGCCATTTCCCCTTGTGACAACCTGTCACCAGTGAGAAGAGACCAACCCCGCTCTCGCTGTAAGCACCTTTCAGATACTGGAAGAGAGCAATAAGGTCTCCCCTCAACTTCCTTTTCCCCAGTCTGAACAGCCCCAGTTCCTTCAGTCTAGTACTAATTCTCTCTCCATACACAGCTTAAAAACAGTGATCAACAGATTCGTGCTACAGATTATTAACTTTAGGGTGTGAAGGTATACATGGGGATGTGCTGTTATTTTCCGTGTGTCTGTGCATCTCCCATGCTGAAATAAGTTGCAGACCCAAACAAGATTGTCTCTTTATCAGTGTGTTGTTGTTAAATTCTTTGCCAGTTTGCATGTGATAATTCTGTGTTTTCTTCATGTTCCAAAATAATTTCAGAAATGCGGAGCTCAGACTTTCTTGTGTAAAGGTGCCTATCAACTTGTTTGATGTTTGATTTGCTATTCAAAACATCAGTTGTTGGGAGGTAGAGGTTTTATGATTTATGGTTTAGAATTGAATGCTACTGAAACCTTGGATAACTGTTACTGCAAAGTGGATATATTCCACCAAAATATTTGAAGATTTAGCAGCAAAAAGGAAACTTGCTGCAAACCAGGGAAATTAAACATTTCAGAAGTAATAAAATCTCTGCTAGAATGGAAAAGATAGTTCCAAATAATAACAGTATTATTTTCTTGCATCTGTAGTTGCTGTTTGGAGTTCTTGTCATTAGATATTAGAGAACTGCACTGCTGGGAAAACAGAAATTTTAGGAATAAAGTAGTAAAATTTACAAAGCGGCAGTCGAGTACATGCAGAAAGTTGAAATCAAAAGGTCTAGGCAGGCTTCATGTTAGATCTGTGTTCTTAACAGAAATGAGTAATTGTGGCTGTTACTTATGTAGTTGTGAATTTATTTTAAGAGAATCTTTAATTAAATGTCACTTAGAGACAGTATTTGCTCTCTGATGTTCTAATCATGTGCTCTTTTTGTGTAGTATCAGCACTTCAGCAGGATTGATCCCACTGAGCAGCTCATGCCGATGGTGGTCTTCTGAGAGAAAACTGCTTTGAACTTTGGATGAGGTGTTCTACTTCGACGCTCAGCTTTGTGAGTTGTTCCTTTAAGTATCTGTATAAAGAATGTGGCAAGTATTGACACTGAACATCAACAAGGATTGCTCAGAGTACTTTTTCTGCTGAAGTCTGGATGGTTCTAATGCACTGTGCTTGGGGTATGCTGAGATAGATCTCTCACAGTGACTGGCAATTTTGCATGTATTCTTTGTGAACTCCAGGTGAAGAGGGAGAGCTCACTGTGCTTCAACTCAGGTAGTAGAACCTTCAGATTTTTCAGTCCTTATGTTTCTAATTGGTCATACAGATGAAAGCTTAAGGGCCTATGGCATCTTTGGCATCTAGATAGTTAAAGGAAGGCTTTATAGGTAACTTATTTTGGTTTAAGGCCATGCATATACGTCCTAAATTTTACCATAAATGTCTAAATCCTTTACTGAATTTATCTCCTACTGATTCTTAAAATGTTAGCTCTTCAATGGGCAACAGGAACACACAGAAGCAATTGGATATGCAGATGAAAATTAAAATGTATTTTGTCAAATATTACAGCAAATGTGGCCGCGAGCTGCTTGGGCAATTTTTGTCACTGATGCAACAACTCCCTTTCAGTTAGCACTTCTTCTGACTTGGCCAGTTTTACAACTGGTGTGGACAGACCATTGCCATAAGTAGTCATGTTTCTGGACTTCTTCAAAGAGTTTTTGTTTCTAACCTTCTTTTCACATCCATTTTTTCATTATGGACCTACAAATTACGGAGAATACTATGGTAGCTGAACATAAACTTTCACTTGCATCTATATTCCCGTTTCTAATGCTTCAGCAAAAAAATGCCAGGGAACTTACAATGAGTGAACTTGATTTATTAAACAGTGTTTCATTGAACCGCGTAAGTATGTTGTATTGGAGATGGGACCAGATAGACTTAGCTCCAAAACCAGCTGTTTGTTTCAGCACTCAGTGTAGTTCATTTATGGTTCTTAGCAGACCTGCTATCACCCATTCTATAACACAGAAAGCCATGTAAGGTAAAGTCCTCTGATGTATCGCTGGTTTAGCTGAAGCTTTCCCTGTGCCGTGTGCTTTGCATTCTGTGGTGTGAAGCATGTGTGCTACTGATCCACCTCACCCTACTTTTACTTCATTCTCTAAGTCATTCACAAGTTCTTCATCACAAAGTATTTTTACATCTCTTGTAAAACACCAAGCAGAGACTGTCATGCCTCAGCTTGAGGAAAAGAATGTTTTGCCAGCTCTGTCATGATATCATTTAACTGATACCAATTTTAGTGGATGGAAAAACCTTTCTGATGTTATCACTAGCCATGAGAGTCAGGATATAGTGATTCCTGGATATCTGCTTGCTGTATAATCTTTTTACTCTCAGTGCTTCCAAGTCATGAAATTGTCTTAGCAGTTTAATTATATTAAGACCATTTATAGGCACCAGAAATATGCTTTACACAAAAAGGAGATAAATTAAGCCACTTCTACTTGGTCTAGTATAAATTGTGGCCAAAAAACAAAAATAAGAACATTTTAAAAAATGAGGAAAGAGAGTATAAAGACAAAGGAAAGAGATGATTTCACCCCTTTTAGAAGAAATTTATGATAAAGAATTAGTTAAAAGGTTAAAGCAAAATTAAAAGATAGGCCATAATGTAGAATAACAACTAGTAATTATGAAAGGATTTCAAATTGGTGACAAGAAACATTCACCACTCAGATTATTTCAGTCAAGTTTTTGACTTTTGAATAATCAACGCTCGTTATCTTGACAACATAATTTGAAGCCCTTGTAGATAAATAAATAATGATTTTCTGTAGATCTGAGATAGTTTATTAACTCCAAGGAATATTAATGCAAACAGCTAAGGACTGTATAGGTTACAAAATAGCAGAGAGGCATTAGTTGCAGGTGCAAACATGGTAATTTGAAAACTGTCCTCTGAACCAGAATTTCCATTGGTCCTACTTTTCAGATATATACTAACTCTTATTTGTGATGAAAAACAAATCTTCACATCATGGGTTTTCTGGAATGTCAATGTTGCTGACTTGTTTATTTATTTTTAAGTAGAGATAGCTATTTAATAAGAATATGTCATTGTGCTGTTATTACAGAAAAGATTGACTGTAAAAACTGCAGAATGCCAAAATAAATTGTATGAATTCAGATTACTGAGCTGTCTGCTACAGAAACAGCAAGGGGACCCAAAAAAGGTACTATGGAAAAGGGAATGATGTACAAAATAAGGAGACTCTTCAAAGATTAATTAATACAGCTATATCACTAAATTCAGCTGTCAAAAATTACAGCCAAACTTCTTTATTAATAGGCAGTTTGTACATGAGTTTCGACATTATTGTTCACTACTCTTCAAGTGGAGGCTGCTATCTCGGTAGCAGAATGGGTGATAAGGTGTGCAAATGCTTTTTAGTGTAATGTCCAGCAAGTTAGTTTATTAAGAAGTTAAAATTAAATTGCCAGATTCTGAAGTGGCTAAATGCCAATATACATTCCTCTCTGCTAATTTCCTGGAAGGGAGAGAGAGGGGCAAGAACTCAGAGTAGAGGAATGGAATGAGCAGCTGGATGTGCTAACTTTTTAAAATTTCTATGGGGCAAGACTTTTATCTGTCAACAGTCTGTGTGTGTCTGCTGTCTGACATGTTTCTGGTTTTAGTAATGTCTCCAAGTAGATACGTGACTTCTATTGGAATCTCCTGCTGTAGTACTCTTAATAACTCAGTTGTCCAAATGGACTGAAATAAATATTGTAGGACAAATGTAAAGCACTTCTTAGCAGAATACAGATTGAATTTATTTGTAAGCAGGTCAGTTATACATGCTTCATTTCTGTAGTGTAGGTATCAGCTTTACTGTCAGTGAGTAGATGGAGTGATTGAGCACATCAAACATGCTCATAGGATAATTATAGAATTACAGAATATCCTGAGTTGGAATGGACCCAGAGGGATAATGGAGTCCAACCCCTGGCTTCACACAGCACCATCCAGAATTCAAACCCTACGTCTGAGTGCATTGTCCAAATGCTCCTGAATCTCTGGCTGCTCAGGGCTGTGCCCACTGCCCTCAGGAGCCTGTTCCATGCCATCACCACGTAGAAGAACATTTTTCTGACACCCAACCTGATCCTTCAGAGTTCCTTTCCATTCCCTTGGGTCCTGTCACTGTCATCAGAGAGCAGAGATCAGCAACTGCCCCTTTGCTCGCCTCATGAAGAAGCCATAGGCTACCATGATGCCTCCTCTCTGTGGACTCCTCTTTGGACTGATCAAGCCAAGTGACCTCGGCTATATCCCTTATGTGTCTTGCCCTACAGGTCCCACAGCATCTTTGTAGCTGTCCTTTCCTCTAATAGTTTCATGTTCTTCTTGTATTGTGGTGCTCAAAATAATGTTGCTGATAGCAGAGATTGTTTGATATCAGACTTATAGTTGAAGTGGAATCTATCACCACTGTGACAAGCGGCTGTACACTGGGTGTGTAACAAAGTGATATGGCCTTAAAATTTCTGTATGTTCTTTTAAAGGATTGAGAGAGTTAGAAAACTGGAATTTCATAGTCATTTTAATATCTGAAATATTTTTTATGGTTTTAAATATATGTTACGCAATGAGTGTCTGGAGTGTCAAAAGGTATCGATTGATATTTAAATCCTGGGACAGTAATTCCATCCTCTGTAAATCCAGATTTGCATGTCTGTATGTTGGAAATATTTTCCAAAGACCAAACACTAGAATAAAATCAATTTAAATTTGTTAAAATTTAGCAATTGATTAAATAAAATTTTCATGATGTTACAAATGCAAAGTTGTATCATTCCTGTGGTTCAGTAATGGAAGAGCTAGATTTATATAGAATTTAAGTTCCATTGGAGTACTGATTTTTTTTATACAGTGGGAGGAGTAAAAATATGTACCTGAATGCATGGATTTGGAGTTTCTTGAGCAATTCAAGAACTAGTCAAAATAAGGTACAATAGCAAAATATAGAGAGAAACTGGGTATCTAACAAAACTGTGCATTAAAGCTTTTTAAATAAACTGATGTTTTTCAAAGTCTTATGAGAAAGGAGGAATGGTGTCTAAATACAAAGCCCTAGAGTGGAATGAATGTCAGAAATCAGAGCTACTGAGAGAAGGAAGATAACATGTTTTATGGTGTTTGTTTATTTTGATTTCCTCTTGTGCATGAAATATCATTGCATTGCACTGTTTGGACAAGAAAGATAGTACACTTCTTAGAGAAGTGTAACTTTGGATACCAGTTACATCGTAGCACTGCATTGTTTGTGTAGATACTTGATAGACTTGACCTTAAGGCATTTGAGGATGAAAACCAGATGTGAAAAAAGAGGTGGGCCTTTAATTCGTTTATTTTAACAGTGTTGCATTTGCCTCCATTGGCAACACAACTCTTAGATTTTTATTTATAGAATCAAGCTTTGGCATAAGTGGAATTAATTTATAGAATTTTTAAGGATAGCCAACAGGTAGCAGCCAAAAAGCAGTAGATCTGAGACAGTTTGTTGCAATTCTCTGGACCAAAGTTTGTGCTCTCCCACTTTTTTTTTTTTCATTCCTCCAAAACAGCAGCACCACATCTGTACCATCTCTTCCTATTTTACAAAGAAGAGTGATGTCTGGGTTGCTCTACTGGGCTTGAGTTCCTGTTTGGACCCAGCAGCTGTTTCATGCCCTTCAATTTCAGAACTCCTAGGTATCAGAGAAAGATGGTTTGCTTGTTTTTCTGTGCTTACACTGGGAGGTGTAACATGTTAAGGATACAGCTCAAAAGAGCATTTGGTATTTTTAAAGGTTTTATTGACTGTGTTTATTGTATGTTGTGGTGTGGTAAGCCCTTTAAATCTTAGAATAATTTTTTGGAGCCATTAAATGAATTATCATTCAGTATTTCATTTTATTAATGTTATCCAAATTTTGCATTAAAAGAAAAATTATGTACCTGGTTAGTTTTCACTATTCACTTACTGAATATTTCAATATTCACCTATTTTCACTATGCACCTCTTGTTTTCACTCTGAGTATTTCGTTTACAGCAATGAGGTCATCTGCAGAATACTGCTACTGAGTGGTGTTATTAAGCCCATCTTTGAAGTGACAAGGTGAGGCATGGAGGAATTTCTTTTTCAGATGTCAAAATTATTGAAGAAATCAGAATGTCCAGATTGAGTCCATGCTGTTTTAAGGGCTTTCATATTTTTATAATGTTACACATTGATTTCTGTTTGGAAGCCATCACTGTTCTGCACTGCTGCAGATCAGCCTCCAGTTGCTTCACATTGCCATGCATTACAAAATTTGGAACATTTACTATTGCCATTTTTTTATGTTCAGACACATTGACAGTCACAGCAATTGTCAATGCCTTGTTTTATTTACTCAGACTTACACTTTCTGATTTCATTTCCAACATCTGTAGCTTTTGTTTTCTATTTTCCCAGTCTTGCTCTCAGTTATTTTGTGTTCAAGTCTCGTTCTTTGTATTGTTGATTCTTCCAAAATACCACATGAACCTTAACATTTAAACAATTATTCTGTTTTCATATCTGTTTTCATGTGAGAGGGGCTAGAAAGAAATAACAGAAATATTACTAGGACAGTAATTTTGCTAAATTTGCTAAAATAGTTTATTCCTAAACTATTGAGAGTGAACCAAAACTCTCAAAACTTATAATTCATTTCTTAAGCATACTGTTTATAGCCATGGAGAGAAAATTAAGACAGCGTGGAAGACAAGCTTTGATAGAGGAATAATTCTGCTCTTTCTTTTCCTTTTTGCTATTTCTAAATGCAAAAGATTTACAGGTCAGTGAGATTTTTATTTTTATTGAGAAATCACTTACAAAAATTACATGCACCTATGACCTTATTTTTGTAAAGGCACTCATTATTTTTTTGCTCTTTACTGAAAAATTCAACCTGAAGAAGGCACCTAAGGACTGAGAAATTTCTCTGTTCAGTGATTTATCTACTGCAGTTAAAAGAAGCATGAAAACAGTATTGTAAGTGGATGATTAACTCTGAATGCTGCTGTTAACTCTGTTATTTATAGTAATTGCTATTTGGATTTTTGCCTCTACAAAGAAAGGCTCTTCTCTTTTGTTATTTAACAAAACATGGGAGAAGTCCAGATGAGAAAGAACACCTATTAGATTAAACAATATGCAGTCAGGTTGAAAAAAAAAGGGAGTAGGGAGTTGTTCCCATTAGATAATTGATTCTTCTTTATTCTGCATGGCTAATTTGTAAGAACAGGTACTTCAGGTGGTTTGGGAATTGTGAGAAATATGGAAGAAGTAGAAATATGGAAGACAAATGTAATTCATATGCTGAATATGTTATAAAGGGAAATAGCATTTCTGCTAATGCTTAGAACGGAAATTGGCAGTGCTTGCTCAGAACATAATGCCTATTTATCCTTATGGAAAACATGACACCTCAATTCAGTGTCAGATAACAATGTGCCAAATATAAAAAAGGATTTTCATTTGGCATTTTAAGTACTCACTTCTACTTCTAACTATGGTACAAGGAGAGCAGTTCCTATTCTAGCTGGATGAGAAAATGTCTATAAACAAAATTTAGGAGAAAATTGATACTTCTTTTTTTTTTTTTTTTTTTTCCACAGATCAATACAGTTTACACTGTAAACTACTTTGTTATTGCCTCTTGTAGTTACTGTTTTCTATGCAGTTTGTTCTTTTTTCCCGAGAATAACAACTGAATGTCTGCTTCTCTCAAGATAAGCACAGTTTAGATCTTGTTTGTTAATAAATCATTATTTTTTTTCTAAGCATATTTTATTTTTTTTATCATTGTCTTCATTTATAAATGTTTATTTGAGTGTAGTTTTTAGAAAATATTAGTTCTTACTATAATAAATCACTCCTGGAGCCAGGTGATAAGAGGATTTTTATTTTGCCACTTTTTCTTTAGAAATATGTTTTTGTATTGTATCTGCTATGCTGTTCATTAAAGTCAGGGGATCTTTGGATGCAGTGACATTTGGATGATACCCATGGACAGTTGCCAACGTTCTAAAATGTTTTGTTTGGACAATCAAACATGAGAATCCAAAGAAGAAGAGAAAGGGTGTTTTAGTTTAGGATTACTGTGTGTAGAATATTTAAAATTGTAAGTAAATATACTATTTCTTTTTTAATTAAAAGGAAGCGCAATGGAATTAGAACAGGACCCTGACTTATGCTGCCACAATCCTTTATTTTAGGGATATGGCTTACTGAGGAATCTGGTTCTGTCCTGCAGCTCCTCCATTTGAGTCACGTTGTGACACCAGCATTTACTCATTACTCACTAGTGGAACAATTTGTGTGTAACTTCTGATAACTGTGAGTAATAAGCTTCTGGTATATAAGCTAATTAATTCATAAAGAATCTGAGGAACTTTGATTCCCTTCTCTAAAACTGGTCAAGAAATAAAGCCTGTTACGTCATTGGTTTAAAATAATACAAAACTGCACAATGCAATGTGTATCACAGCCATTAAAAACATTCCATGCTTTATATTTAATGGTGCCTTTATGGGTTAATTTTGTATGTTTTTTAAATTTTGTATAATTATGGATAGTGATCATATTTATAAAAATATATCAGTGTCGGATTCCAGTCATCTGCTCCAAATGCCATTTTTGTATAATGCTAAAAGCCATGTATACTAACTATTTTCACTCAGCCTAAACAAAGCAACAGGAAGTGGTCTATTTTAAATCTATGTTTCTTTATTGGAGTATATTTCAAATATTTAGTGATGTGGTCTGTTTTTATAAGAAAGATATTGTTCTGCCAAAAAATGAATACACATAAAAGAGCAGTTGTACTTAAGCAGGATAACTTACTTTAGTAAGAGCTGATTTATTTACGTGAATTACCTGAATTAGAATATGAAACTGTAGTTTAAAATAATATTTTTGGCAGAATCTTTTAAAGCATCTATAAATAGGATAGGATATAAATGGATTAGAAATGCGTAATTTGGAACGAAACACACCTTATAAGAGGAACAAGTACAATCCAGGGTCTTGGAACCTCTCTCTGTTATATTCTGCCCTACTTGCAATCGCTGGGCTAGCAGGAGTGTTAGTGAACTCAATACTATGTACAGTATAAATAATCCTCATATTTTGAGCAGCAAGCATCATGACCAGCTGATATTTTCTTTCCTACGGACCAGTTGTTCCCAAGAGTGCGTGGCTGAAGCCATATGATCTTATCAACACATTTGAGAGCCCTACCCAAACACTGAGAGAGATTTTCGTGCAGCAATGACTGTCATAGAGGAAAGTCGCCCTTTTGCCCAGCAGCTATCCAATGTCTATTTTACTATACTTTCTCTTTTTTGTTTTAAACTCTTTGTGAAGATCAGCCTTGCTATACTTAGTCATTTCTACATTGTAAAAGGGAACCGTAAGGAAGCAGCAAGGATAGCTGCTGAATTTTACGGAGTTCCTCAAGGACAAGGTATGTTTATATTTACAGTCTAATCACTACTGTTTGGGCTTTTTGTTGCTGTGTATTTTTTGTTTTGATTTTTTTCAGGCACTTGCTTGTCTGCAGGAGATTTTTCTGTAGTTCTCTGTTCTTTTTAACAAAAATCTGAAGCAACATTGTTAGATGTTTTTAAGCAAGTTATTATTAGTAGTATTTTTTGCAGGAAAACATTATGTTCAGAATGTATTATAGTCAGTATCTTGTTAAGAGAAAGGACTGTACTTAAGAAGGCTGTACTTAAGATTGACATATATTGCCACTCTAGTACACTTTTTTTTATTCCTAATTGCTTTAAAAATTGATCCCACTTTAGCCATATGTGGGTGAAATTTTCCACATTTGTATGTTATTATTTTGCAGTACTCCAGTGAAACTAATCCATGTATTAATGAGAATTATTTCTTGATTAGGGGTTTCCTGTGATTTATTTGAGATTATTTGAGAAGTCCTTCTGCTTCCTCTGAATTTACATCTTGGCAGGTATCAGGAAGCTACATACTTGTCAACTTCAGCTTTTGGGTGTCTGTGTGACCCACTACATTTTACTGAGTTGAAAGCTCTTTCAAAATTCTTTTTTCTATTTGCTCAAGCAGAATTTTGGCAGAGCTGTGTATTGCTGTTTCCACAAGCTCACCTCTGCTGAGACAATGCCATTTTCATTTAATTCTTCTTCTGGGTCACAGAACACACAAACTCTTTTCTTGATTATGCTGTCCTATTGCACAACTTTTTCTCAATATGGGGTCCTTGCTGCCTTGCTTGTGTCTTGTGGTTCCTTATGTTCTGAGATGACAGAAACTTTAAGTTAGACAGCATAACAGGAAGGGTTGTCTCATCTCTCAACACATTCACCACTCATCTTTAGGCACCATAAAAAAACAAGAAATAACCTGAGTTAAATGCAAAGTGGGAAACAGTAGAAATATGCCAGAAACAGCTACAGATCTGAAGATCTTTTCATTCTTCTATACTGGGACAAAGCAGAGATTAGTTTGTGTTACACGTTCACTTGAGGTGGATTTATATTGTGTCTTCTCTGCATGATTTAGAAAATTCTGGCTCGTGGCTTCTCCATCTGAGTATGTTAATGAGAACATTTGAACTATTGCATTACTGTGCGTGTGAGTTTTTGTGTTAATAATTGTATAGATGTATGTGTGGGTGTATGCATGTAAACGTATTCACTAGAGTGGGATGGCAAGGAATGACCATCTGTCCCACTGGCAGAAACACTCAGAGGGAACATGTTAGTCTTTGAAATTGGGACGAACTTTTTGTTAGAAACTTCAGGCTCACTGTAAGGCAGATCAGTCTGGGAAGACTGACAGAAAATCTGAGTAAGGAAGGAGAAGGACTGGGAGAAAAGTAGAGGGAAAAGAATAAAATGCATCAAGTTGGAAGGCATTTGGTCTTCCCTTATCTTGCAGTCTGCACCTTTGCTTGTGTTTGAAGAAGGGATCATATACTGCCTCAGTTCACAGCATACTGTGGCATCAGGTTTGTTTATGTTTGTGAAGTACAGTTTGAGGATGCCTCAGTAGAGACTGTACAGTACCATGTAACTTTGGTTCTCAACTTCTCAAATGTCTAGAAGATGTTCAGTAAGTTATGTGAAGCCACAACTTCTATTAAATGATAAAATTAAATATTGAATATCCACTTAATGAGTGATCTTGAATATGTGTTTTTATTAAGCACACAAAAGCCTCAGCAGGAAACCTCCCCACAAAACAAAACAAAAAATAACCTATTATTGCCTAATTGAAATTTATAGAATCTTAAAAGTAACTCCTATTAGAGGAAATGTTAGTTTTCATTTTCTAGTTTAAACTTGATTATATACTCCTAAAATCCTGTTCGTGCTGGTATTTTCAGTTTCCTTGCAATACTACAGAATTACTTTTTGCTATTAAAATGATTTGGCCACAATAGAGTGCTATAGTATTGAAGAAGGAAAGATCTTTTGAAAATGAAACAGGCATTATTGCAGTTTTACCAACCTGAGTTCTTGAACTAAAATAAACCTTTTTTTTTTTTGCAAAGCCTGTGTAACCGAGGACATTTTATGTAGTTGTGATGGGACTTCCTTTATCATACTGAAGGTGTACAGGATAGGTCAGTACAGGATTTGAGGCCTGTGTAGTCCTGTTGCTAGACAGAAGTAGTGAAACAGATGATATTTTCTTCCTTAATAATTCAGAAATATTTTCTCTCTGGTTTGGATAGTCACCAGACTACTGTGTTAAATTTATTCTTTCAATCTCAGTGCCCATAGTTAATCAGTAATGCATATGTGGCATTGAAATATATGAATTAGATCAGTGTTCAGCAATAGGTAAGTCCAGAAATGTGCATATAAAATCTCTACTAATTATAAGTCATAAAATTTGTTGAAGATGAAGTCTGAGTAACACTTTCTAAAGCTGAAAGGCACCTTGAGAGGTAATTTGGACTCTCTAGTACCAAATAAACATGGATTGTCAAATTTTTGTCTAACCTGTTTCTAAAATGCTCTGTAATAGTGATTTCTGTGGTATTTTGATGCAACCAGTGCTGTTTTTTACTGTTCTTATCAGTAGAATGCTTCCCACTTATCCCAAGATCTAGTTAGTTTTTTATTTACATGAACCAAACATATACAATATAATTAAAGTACTTAGGAATTCTTCTCCGAATAGGAAAAGTGTCTCCTCTCCTCACCTCTATGCTTTTCTGGAGTAAAGAGGACAGGATTTAACTTGGTCTGTGCTCCTAAGCTTTGTTTTCTAGACCTGGAATTGCTGTTGCCATTTTTGGACTTGTGCTAGTTCAAATACAGTTCACAGACATTTTTACTGATGTATGGTTTCCCATGTTAAATAGAGTGCTCCAGCTGAGCCTTTATTAGTGGAACCGGTGAAAATATCAATTGTATAAAAGTGGGACAGTTAGGTCGTGTGCCATGTATGTGATATGTATCACCTATGTATCACCTTCTGGAGAGAGGTTTCTTTTTTTTTCTTTTTCCTCAACAGTCTAGTATTATGGATTCAGTCTGTAGCCAACTATAAACCTGATGTTGTAACAGTGTCATCTGCATTTGCCTTTTTCCTTTACACTTGCCTTTAGCTAACTTGACGCAGACAATTTCTCCATTGCAATGAAATCTATTTTGAACTGTTTCCCTCTGAGCAGTTGGAACACCTGCAGTTCAGTGTCATATACTGATTTCAGAAAAAAACAAATGCAGTAGTCTATCATCTACAGTATTAGAACACTAAATAGCACCAAATGCAGGAGATAACTCCGCAGTCTTTTGTATTTTTTTAAAGTGCATTAAAGACTATGTCTTAATAAGCTATTAGAGTTTATTTTTTTCAGTGAATATATAAAATAATCAAATGAAAAAGGAAAATCCATTCTATTGTAAAGGTTTCATTTACATTTACTTTTAACTTTGGCACTCATCTTGTAAACACTTACTCATATACACATTCTTGCCCCATTGAATTGAAATGGACTGATTTGTTATTCAGAACTAAGTGCTTTGTAGTCAGGGTCTTACAGCCAAGTTATAAATAATTATGATATCTAGCTTTTCTTTTTTATTGTGCTGAAGTGAAGACATATTTATTTACTATTCTATGAAAATCATGACAGTTGACACGTTATTTATTTATTTTATGGAAGAAGTCACAGCACATACATATTTATTCACTTCTATAGTTCTGTACCCTATAAACTGACCTACACAAATGAACTTGCTTGCAGATTAATTTGGGGTATAATTAGCTTCTTAATAGGCTATCTGCAGTGACAGTGACCTGCACAGTAAGATTAATTCTCTTCCTGTATTTCCAGA